GAATTTCAAATTTCCATCTGCATACAGTTTGACACAAATCAAATACAAAAATCTAGTAAATAAAGCATGGCATTCATCACATTAAAACATTTAAAAAGTAAAAATCTAAATAGAAGTACTTTAAGCTACATAATTGCTTAAATTAATGTGTATCGATAAATCCAAACAGCTAACAAGCAGTGTTCAATTTAACACCCAGGGCTGGCTGAAAATCAACATGCTTTCATTGTTATTACCAACCAAATGAGAATGAACTAGAGATGTAAAATATTAAACAGTAAACTGTTAAGTATTAATCCTACCATTAAGCCACCCTAACCGTTAACCCCCTGCACGCAGGTCTTGAATTGGTTCTCCTGCAGCAGAGACCAACCCCAGCCCCCTGCTGGCCAGCTAACCCCAGCCCCCTTATCTGGGATTGCTGAATCTGATCTATCCACCTCTAGGCAGTCACAACAGTGATAGGGTATTGCCCATAGGTGCCGACTCCAGGGCTGGAGCACCCACAGAAAAAAACATGGTGGGTGCTTAGCACCCACTGGTAGTCCCGCCGATCAGCACCTCCCGCCTGCCACAGATCAGCTATTCCACAGCATGCAGGAGGCGCTGGGGAGGAGCGAGGGCAGGGTGTGCTCGGGGGAGGGGACTAAATGGGGCAGGAAGAGGTGAGGCAGGGCGAAGAGGGGCCTTGAGCAGAAGGGGTGGTGTGGGGGCGGGACCTGGAGTGGAGCACCCCCCAGCACATTAGAACATCAGTGCCTATGGCCAGACCTTCAGAGTAGACTCAATAGCCTTTCATTAGTTAAAGCTATTAGAAAAGTGCTTTTTTGTTATGCAATTAGTTTTTATTGAAATGCCAAGAAGTTTTGACCAGCTCCATTACTTAGCAAAGCCATTGTTAGTCTCCAAAACCCAAGTAGATGTTCCTTCATTTCCTGAAATGATCTCATTATGAAGAAAACACACCAGAGAGTGATCTACAGAATGCTCAGAAGTTTCATGAAGCTCTCCAGTCACCTATCCCTCCCCTTCCTCCTCCAAAAGTATCAACTGAGGCAGACTAGCTTCCAGAAGATTAGGAGTCTGTGCTATCTGTCTGGACTTTGGAGACAAATTAAGTGACTCAACATGTCCCTGTACCTTTGACAAGACACGAAAAGAACTCTGAGTAAGAAGAAAAGGAGTACTTGTGGCACCTTAGAGACTAACAAATCTATCTGAGCATAAGCTTTCGTGAGCTACAGCTTATGTTCAAATAAATTGGTTAGTCTCTAAGGTGCCACAAGTACTCCTTTTCTTTTTGCAAATACAGACTAACACGGCTGCTACTCTGAAAACTGAGTAAGAAGATACTGAGGCCACATAAGTCACTTGCCCCACAGAAATTAAATTGATAAAAAGGATCATGAGGAAAAACTGTCTCCAACCAGCCAGACAATGCCTAGACAGCTACTCAAATCTTAATGGGCGAAATCAGAACCAAGGAGGGAAGTCTCAAAGAGCTATGCATCTGCCCTTCAGATCACAGCCTGATATTCAAACTTGAAAAGCCACATCTGGAATGCAGATTTACAGAGCAGCCAACTTATCCCAATACTAACAGGTTCAAAGGCACAACTAGATTTTTATAGAAATAAGACTAGTACTTTTGAATAGGGCACCCAACCCCAGAATGACACTCTCTAAATCAAGAGAATGTCCAATATCATATTACAAACCTAAAGCCCTCCAGAGACCACATATAACTTCCAATGGTGTACCAGATCAGACAGCATCTTCAGTACCAAGCTCCAGGAACCTTCAAAACCAATCCACCTGAGGGCAACATTTACTAGTCTGATTTTAGAGAGATTACACCGAAATAGATGCAAATCAAATAGGGAATCCCAACAAGTCACTGAAAACAGCTTTAAGTACTAGGACTGTTTCTCTTCTAAGAAGCCACTTTCCCCTTCCTCAGATCATCTCCCTGCTTTGTTCCTTGTTCAATAAGGATGTCCATCAATGAAACAAAGGACTGTTAATATTCTAATGAGAGTTCTTCATACTGATCCACTGCAGGGAACCTGTAGGGATCAGATCTGTAGAAAAATCTATAGGTTTCAGCCTCTGGGATTCTTAGGAACAAGCCCTTGAGGCCTTCACCAAAAGAACAACCTTTTATCATTTGGCTCTACTCCCTCCTCAAGCTGAGTGAATACTGCACAAGGCTGAATGCCCTTTAAAGATATTCCTCTACAAACAGCAGGGATACTAAACATGTTAATCAGCTGTCAGTATTTTACCACAATGTAAAAGGTGTACCTTCTAAAGATGAAGCACCTATGCATCTCCCAATCACGCACCAACTATACTAACAGAAAAACATTTGTAGCTAGGGTAATATAGTGACACAGTTACTAGAAACTATCTAGACCACCAGAAAGAGAGAAGAAACTTGGAATGGATGTTCCAAAGCAGTGCTGGGAAAAGAATAGCCTCATTTATAACCACTGTTTGGAACCACAATTGGTGTGCAAGATTCTAATGTTACACTGTCTTCTAATGCAAATTTGTTGTAGGGATTTGCAGAAACAGTTTCACAAAGGAGAATCCTTTATTATTTGGGACATAGAGCATACAACAGTAATCCATATATTGTCCTTTATCTGCGGCAGAGCTTCCACATATGTTAAGAGTTGTACAAGTTGAGTTTCTTGATCATATGGTATGTTCATGTGTACATGTCATGACAATACAATACTTAACGTGCATATTTTAAGAGAGATAGGCATACTTTGAAAGCCAGTAAATATAATTTTACTAGACATTAAGTTCCTTGCACTAGGACTTGAAGGCACAAAAAACTCTTGGGTTTATGATTTTAAAATAACTGGCAACTTGATAAGTCTTAGATCAGAAACTGCAGCTGCCATTAAAGAGGAAATAAAGAAACCAGACACCATAACCGGTGTGGTGGACACAAATGCTATCTCAGCCAAACCTAGAAAAATGCCAGGTTAGGTCCATTAAGAATGTTATACCCATCCACAGGAGCAACATGCAGGAGAAGATCTGAGATTCTTCATTCTTTAATGGGAGACGCACTCTAGGGGGCTGCTTCACACCTATCTGTCCAGAGCTCCAGGAAAGCTAGGATCATAACGGCCAAACTATCTTCTGCAATGCCAGTGCTGCTTGCCCTGCTCCTTTTACCACACGCTGCTCCCACTTTGAAAGCCGCACTGCTGCACACAGACTAAGCTGCTCTATTGCCAACATACCCCCCAAGTTTCTAGGTAGCATGTCTCATCCCTACTTTCTGTGGGTGTCAACTCCCCTGATGGAGCCCAGGAGAAAGCATACAATGGGGAGGAAAATGGGAAAAATGGGAGAGTTAGCGTATGCACAGGAGTATGGGCCTAAAACCAATTTTCAATAGTTGCACTCCATATGACACCCTTCCTGGCTTTTATTTAGGAAGTGCATTCTATCTTCTAAGCATGGAGAAGAGATAAAGTCCCAAAAACTCAACAAGCCAGGAAGTCCCTAAACAAGGAATTGTCAGAAAGCACAATTAAGTCATAGGTGTATTCTCTTGTCATTTCTCCTCTTTACTCAGCTTATCCCTTAGTAGGAGAATTAAAGAAACTAGTGAGTAAACGTTGGTCATGTTTACTGGTGGTGTTCTAAAAATCATCAACATACTAATGAAAAAATCTCACTTTAATGCACACCAGTGTCTTTTTTGTTCTTATGCAAAAGAATCAGGAGCTCTAGTTACATTCTTGCAGAGTGATCTTCACCAAGAATTCACGCATGCTTGCTTTTACTGAAGTGGAATAAAGTGCTTAGGTCACTGAAGGTTTACACTCATTCCCTCAAAAACAAAACACTGTTGATGTTGAAATAAGATGAATTAATTAAGTAACACATTTAACTGTAGAATCTGATTAGTATTTATGATGTTAGCAATGTTCTGGTTCTCATCTGTTGATTTAATCTATAAAGCAGAGTGCTAAACTACTGAATAGTAAGATACAGATAAATACGTTCCAAGGAAAGGTTAGAACACCTGTTTCTTAAATAGTGTCGCATTTTTAAGGGAACGAGGAGGGGAATTTTTACCATCCCCACCACCACGTCCAAAAAGAACTGCTGACTTGTCTTTGAGACAATAAATTTATATCTAGATAATTTACGTTTAATACATTACAAATTTGTTCATAGTCAAAAACTGGACATGTGTGAAGCCTGATTGCTTGGGTGTGTATAAATATATACTTTAACTAGAAGTGTAGCAATTTTGGAAGTGCACCTGCAACACCTGTGAAATGACATTAAATGCCACCATTTGGGATCCAGGCAACAGATTTTAAATCTTTAAAAGCTTAGCTTGATTTGAAATGATTAGGAGTTGTAGTATCAATTATGAACTTAAACACTATATATTGGTTTTTTTTTTTTTTTTAGAGAACGAACCTACATAAACCAAACCAAACTATCATGTGACCCCTCACAATAAGCCATAACCCTCATTCTCCCTTCCCATTCAATACTTCATCAGTTATCATTGGTAATATTTCCAAACTTAGATTTTAAGCAGATCTGAGCAGAAAACCTGTCTCACACCACAAACACTTACAAGCACTGCGTAACTGAAATAAATAATAATTAAGTTTTCATATATTTAGTTTCAGAGTAGCAGCCGTGTTAGTCTGTATTCGCAAAAAGAAAAGGCATACTTGTGGCACCTTAGAGACTAACAAATTTATTTGAGCATAAGCTTTCAGTTGCATCCCATGAAACGAGCTGTAGCTCACGAAAGCTTATGCTCAAATAAGTTTGTTAGTCTCTAAGGTGCCACAAGTACTCCTTTTCTTTTTGCATATATTTAGTAACACTTGCATGAATTTGTTTTAAAGAAGCTAATCCAAAACAATAGTGTAGTAACGCTAGTGGGACGCACACCACTATGCTGACACCATACCACGAATAAAATTCACTTAAGTTTTAGTTACCTGTTGATCTGCTGATGTACGTTGCTGGACTGCATCATGGCTCACAGAGCCTTTTTTTACTTGAACACGGCCAGGTGGGGGAGGAATTACGCCTGAATATGGGGTTGAGTTATCTGCATCTGAAGAATACAAGGCTGTGTGTCTCGATTCCTGTTCGTTCTTTGGAACAACAAATCTGGGCAGAGGGAGGTCCTTTACTGTTAAAACAATGATATATATTAATAGTATAGGGTATTTTTTATTATACAAAAAAGAATACTTAAAAATGACTAGCTTAAAATGTAGTTCTATTCTAAAAGATACCATGGAATTTCATATCTGTTGTCTCTCCATGACTTACATACTGAGTTTGGTGCAATTTACAAGCAAATGCAACCTGAGATTTCTTTTTTTTGGCTCCTGCTAAATTCTGTAAAATTCTACATCACAAATCCTGTTACACCTATGGAACCACACAATTTTCTATAGGGTTCCGTGCATGCAAGATGACAGTTTGGTTCTGTGACTTAGTTGTGACTTAGTTTATTCTACTGATATGCAAGAAAGAATTCAGCTCATTCTTCCATAAATATATAGGCTTGTTAATTATACTTTCTATTACAGTTTTGCTTACTGTACAAATTTAGGTTTCAGAGTAACAGCCGTGTTAGTCTGTATTCGCAAAAAGAAAAGGAGTACTTGTAGCACCTTACAGACTAACCAATTTATTTGAGCATGAGCTTTCGTGAGCTACAGCTCATCCATTATAAGTTCCAGGCATGCTTGAAAAGTTCTTAAAAGTCTTTGCACTTAGGGTGCTTCATCTATAGATCTAGAAGTTAAAAACTTCACTAAAGCATTTAGATACAACAATGCATACAGACAGTAAAGTGGTGCCTTTTTTATCTTCACAGTAGAAACCATAATTCAGCCTTTATTTCTCAAGACTTAGCTAAGTATTGCATAAACACATTTATTACTCATCCACTTTAATCTTGATGAATCTTTTCTACATAAGTCGCTAGTAAGCTATTTTACTATGATACTACCAAGGGATGTTCAGTTACAGTCAGATTTAGCAGTAATTTCATTATAAACCCATTTTTGAAGTCTACACATGCAACTTTACCAAGCTAAGAGGTACACAGCTTTACTCAGTCTCCCCTTGGAATAAATTTTGTTACTAGGCTGAGTGAGAAATAATCTTGTTAAATAGCTCTGCCATCCCTCTGAATCCTGACCTGTAAATGGTCTTCCTAGTCCAGTGAAGTCAAATTATGCAATTTGTTGTATAGCATACTTGTAAAAAAAAAACTTTTAAGAACTTACACACATTTGCAATCACAACTAATAATATGAGGGAATTAACGTTATGTGGATTAATTTTGCTGGTTCTTATAGCTATTTTATTAAATAAAAATTAAATACACTGGTACTATTGTCATTAAAAGTAAACTAAATTCTTCATACAATTTGTTAGTTATTGTGTAGACTAATTTTTGTTTTGAATGTTTAATGTTCAATCTATATTTGAATATTACCCTTTGAATACAAAATACTTTAATAATTTTGTTAAATATAACCAAGGAACAACCCAACAGTTTAGTAAGTAGCATAATATGCTAACAGGGACACCAGAGTTCAAGCAAAACCTTTCACATTCTCACCTATGTGTGCACTCAGCATACTAAGAACAACATGTTGACCTCAGTGCTAAGGTGGGGTGTGACCCACACTGAAAAAAAATACCATTTTAAGCTTCAAATACTTCTCTTTGAACTTCCTCCCACCCTCACCTTGCCTTCATCCACAAGAGCAAAGAAATTCAGTGTAAGACGACTTTGTTCTTTGATGTTGCAATACTTAGGGTTTGCATGCTCATCTAGAAGCCCCTCTAATAGCTAAATGACTAATCTCTATCCTGTCCTGCCTAATTAATTTTTATTTTTGCAGGAGACCGTTTCCCACACCACGGTAACAGAACAAACAAGTGACATGAATTCACAGTGACTATCTGCTCATTTTATAATTCCCAATTAGGCAGTTATCCATGAAAATGTCTTTCCAAATTAAGTAGCAACCCAAAATTTACTTTGCTATTTCCAGCATAGTAATTAAAGCAATACAAGTATTGTCATTTTATACAAATACTTCAGAGCCATATATTACATGTCCACAAGTGCTTAACTATAAGTCTTTTTCAATCTCTCTCTGAACTAATCAATCAGCTGAGACAAGAATTATGCTTGGTAGATGCTAACACTAAGTACTCCACACTTGCATCAACTGTAGCTCAAGACTTGAAAAACCCACTCACACAGGCCAAATGGACGTATTAAATAGGAAGTGGACAAACCAGGATAGTCTGGTGCAGCACACAGAGGTGGGGCTGACCAGCAGGCAAAGTAAGGAAAAGGGACTGCAGGATGGTGGAATAGGGCTCTCCTCCCATTCAGCAGTTCATGTAAAAGGGGGTGGGGGGAAGAGGAGTGGGCTCAATATTCCCTTCAGCTAGAGAGAGGCTGCATAGAGGAGCAGAGAAAGATGAATGAGAGAGAAAGTGAAAGGGGGAAAATGAGGAAAAGAAGAGAATGTTAAAAAATAAATGAGAATAAGGAAGGATAGTTAGTAAAAGAGGATGAAGAAGGTGGGTGGGAGTAAGGAGATAAAAGTGGAGGAGAATGTCTTCAGAGGACATAAGCTCTAAGAGTTATTGGTTTTGCAGAGAGAAAACATTGAGGGAACATCAGTCCCAGCACTTAGTGTATGTCTATGCTTAAAACACTGTAGTGGCTCACCTGCAGCACTTCAGCATAGGTACTATCTACGTCAATGAAAAGGCTTCTTCTGTCAGTGATGGGAATCTACCTTTCTGAGAAGCTAAGCATTATTTAGAGCAAAGGAAGAATTCCCCCATTGACCTAGCACTGTCTACACTGGGGTTAGGTTGGATTTCACCCTCCAGAGGGTATGTCTACACTACAAAATTAGGTCGATTTTATAGAACTCGATTTTTAGAAATTGATTTTATAGTCGATTGTATATGTCCCCACTAAGCACATTAAGTCGGCGGAGTGTCCTCACTACCGTGGCTAGCATCGATTTACAGAGTGGTGCACTGTGGGTAGCTATCTCACAGTTCCCACAGTCTCTGCTGCCCATTGGAATTCTGGGTTAAGCTCCCAGTGCCTGATGGGGCAAAAACATTGTCGAGGGTGGTTTTGGGTACATGTCATCAGTTGCCCCTCCCTCCATCCGTGAAAGCAATGGCAGACAATCGTTTCGCACCTTTTTTCCTGGGTTACCTGTGCCATACCACGGCAATCATGGAATCCGCTCAGTTCACCTCTGTTGTTGTGAGCATTGTAAACACCTCGCGCATTATCCTGGAGTATGTGCAGAACTGGGCTAAGAGACGCCAGCACGAGGACAATTGTGATGAGGACATGGACACAGACATTCCTGAAAGCACGGGATGTGGCAATTGGGACATCATGGCTGCAGTGGGGCTGGTTGATACAGTGGAACGCCGATTCTCAGCCCAGCAAAGAAGCACAGATTGGTGGGACTGCAAAGTGTTGCGGGTATGGGATGATTCACTGTGGGTGCGAAACTTCCACATGCGTAAGGCCACTTTCCTTGAACTTTGTGAGTTGCTTTCCCCTGCCCTGAAGCCAGGAATACCAAGATGAGAGCTTCCCTGACAGTTGAGAAATGAGTGGCAATAGCCCTGTGGAAGCTTGCAACGCCTGACTACTGGTCAGTTGGGAATCAATTTGGAGTGGGCAAGTCTACTATGGGGACTGCTGTGATCCAAGTAGCCAACGCAATCACTGAGGTTCTGCTATCAAAGGTAGTGACTCTGGGAAATGTGCAGGTCATAGTGGATGGCTTTTCTGCAATGGGGTTTCCTAACTGTGGTGGGGTGACAGACGGAACACATATCTCTATCTTGGCACCGGACCACCTTGCCAACCAGTATGTAAACCGCAAGGGGTACTTCTCAATGGTGCTGCTAGCACTGGTGGATCACAAGGGACATTTCAACAACATCAGTGTGGGATGGTTTGGAAAGATGCATGATGCTCACATCTTTAGGAACTCCGAGCTGTTCGACCAGTTGCAAGAAGGGACTTACTTCCCAGACCAGAAAATTACTGTTGGGGATGTTGAAATGCCAATAGTTATCTTTGGGGACCCATCCTACCCCTTGCTCCCATGGCTCATGAAGCTGTACACAGGCAGCCTGGACAGTAGTAAGGAGCGGTTCAACTATAGGCTGAGAAAGTGCAGAATGGTGGTAGAATGTGCCTTTGGACGTTTAAAAGCCTGCTGGCGCTGTTTGCTGACTAGGTTAGACCTCAGCGCAACCAACATTCGCATTGTTATAGCTGCTTGCTGTATGCTCCATAATATCTGAGAGAGTAAGGGAGAGATATTTATGGTGGGGTGGGAAGTTGAGGCAAATTGCTTGGCAACCAATTTTGAGCAGCCAGAAACTAGGGCGATTAGAAAAGCACAGCTAGGCGCACTGTGCATCAGAGAGGCTTTGAAAACCAGTTTCATGACTGGTCAGGCTATGCTGTGACAGTTGTGTGTGTTTCTCCTTGCTGCAAACCCACCCCCTTTGTTGATTTTAATTCCTTGTAAACCAGCCATCCTCCCCTCTTTGGTCACAGCTGGCAAAGGAAATAAAGTCACTATTGTTTTGAAACCATGCATTCTCTCTTTATTAATTAAAAAAAGTGAGATAACTGACAAGGTAGCTCGGGTGGGGTGGGGTGCGGGACGAGGGAAGGATAAGGGCACATTGCTTATTGTAGCAACACTACAAATCAAAACTGTGAATGACAGCCTTCTGTTGCTTGGGCCATTCTCTGGAGTGGAGTGGCTGGGTGCCTGGAGCCTCCCCCCCTCGTTCTTGGGCATCTGGGTGAGGAGGATATGGAACTTGGAGGAGGGAAGGTGGTTATACAATGGATGCAGAGGGGGTCTGTGCTCTTGTTGGCTTTCCTGCAGCTCCAACAGATGCTTCATCATGTCCGTTTGCTCCCCCATTAGCCTCAGCATCACCTCCTGCCTCTGCTCTTCGCGCTCACTTAATGCTTTCCTGGCCTCTGCCACTGAATGCCTCCGTGCATTAAGCTGTGTCATATCAGTGCGGGAGGTCTGCATGAGCTCAGAAAACATGTCATTGCGAGTGCGCTTTTTTCACCTCTCATCTGCGATAACCTCAGGGGACGAAGATGATAGGGGGAGCATAGACATTTGCACCTGGGGGAGATAAAAAGGGAGAGTAAAATTTAAGATGATACATTTCTGAGAACAAAAGGGAGACTTTCACAGTGAATCAAGCAATTCACAGCAGACAGTACTTGTGCTTTAGGTACAAGGTTGTATTTTGCCTTTTATATTGAGTGCCTGGCAGTATGGTGACACATCACAAATGGCTGGGCAAAAGAATTCTGTTTCCAGGCAGCCACGGTAAGCCTTTTGGTAAGCGGGGTTGGCTTCTTACGCCTTCATAACATGTGGGAATGGTTTCAAACTGCAGCGCCATCCTTTCCCACAGCAAGCAATGCCGGTTGGGTTTCACATTTAGAAGGAGGGGCTGCGGTTTTCAGGTGGATGTGCAGCACACATCTCCCCCTCCCCACCATGTAGCTATTCTCTGGGATGATTCCTTTTAGCCAAGCACAAACAACCCAGCATGAATGGGGTCCTTTTACTTTTCCCTTACAAAAATTCCCATTTCAACCAGGTGACCATGAATGGTATCACAGAAAGATAAAGACCAAATATTGCTTGAATGCAACCAAAACCCAGGACCATTCGCTGCCATGCTTTGTGCTGCAATGATTCCAGACCACTTGCTACTGGCTTGGCATTGTAAAGTGTCCTACTGTGGAGGACGAAATAAGGCAGCCCTCCCCAGAAACTTTCTGCAAAGACTTTCAGAGTACCTCCAGGAGAGCTTCATGGAGATGTCCCTGGAGGATTCCCGCTCCATCCCCAGACATGTTAACAGACTTTTCCAGTAGCTGTACTAGCCGCAAATGCATCCCAATTCTTCAGGGCAAATCAAACATTAAACACTATTGCTTTTAAACCCTGTACTGTAGTTACAAGTGTGCACTCACCAGAGCTGCCTTCTCCAACTTCAGGGTCGGGAATCCCACCTTGGGAGGGTATTGGCTCCAGGGTGATGAAGAAGGTCCTGGCTGCCAGGGAGAACGGATTCACCGCTTGCCTGCTGCACATTCTCCTCCTCTTCCTCCTCCACAAAATCCCCCTCTCTGTTGCATGAGACTCCCCCTTGCAGGTGTCCACGGACAGTGGTGGGGTAGTGGTAGGGTCCCCCCCTAAAATGCCATGCAGCTGATCATAGAAACAGCATTTATGGGGCTCTGACCCAGAGCGACCGTTTGCCTCCTTTGTCTTTTGGTAGGCTTGCCTGAGTTCCACTTTCATGCAGCACTGCTGTGTGTCCCTGTTGTAGCCTCTCTCCGCCATGCCCTGTGCGATTTTGGCATATATATTAACATTTCTTCTTTTTGATTGAAGTTCGGCCTGCACACATTCTTCTCCCCATACAGCAATCAGATCCAGGGTCTCCCTTTCGGTCCATGCTGGAGCTCGTTTGTGATTCTGGGGGGGGGACTGAATGGCCACTTGTGCTGCTGTGCTCGCCACTCTGACCAAACAGAAAATGAAATTCAAAATTTCCTGGCGCTTTTCCTGTGTACCCGGCTAGCGCATCGGAGTTCAAAGCGCTGTCCAGAGTGGTCACATTGGAGCACTCTGGGATAGCTTCGGGAGGCCAATACCACTGAATTGCGTCTGCACTACCCCAAATTCGACCCAGCAAGGTCGATTTTAGCACTACTCCCCTCGTCGGGGAAGACTACAGAAGTCGATTTTATGAACCCTTTAGGTCGACGGAAAGGGGTTGGTTGTGTAGATGCATTCATTTAAAAATTGACCTAATGTGGCTAAATTTGACCTAACCCTGTAGTGTAGACCAGGGCTGAGAGACATAGTTAAGCCAACTTAATTTTCTCGTGTAGACTCAGCACAGGTCAGCAGATAACCATGGTGTGGAGAGGGTTGACAGCACAACTATTTTTCACACTGGTGAGTTATTGGGTTGGATAAGTTTTTCAAGACCTTCTCTAACTGGTTCAAACAACTCCTAAACAATTAGAAATATTTACAGTGTTTCTGACATGTATGAACCAGTGCAATATAGTCTATTAGAGAGCTGCAAAGGCAGTTTATTAATTTACATTAGCTTTTTTGGGTGTTTTGGAAATAATCCCCTTGGACACAATCTTTAGTTTGTTTTCTCCCAAAAAGGAGAGATTGTATATTTCTTCTTTATTTCTTGCTATTGTAAGTGTCTTTTTCACTGGAAGTCTCCTTTCAATCAACATCTCATTTAATACTAAAAAAGCATTTCACAGAAACAACCAAAACAATTCAAGTTATCTGAAAACTAAAAAGAAGTCAGGTATCTAATCTCCTTTGTCAGGTTTTAGTCTGGTACATTCATCTCAGCATTAGCATCATGTAACAAATTTTATTTTACCATGTACTAACAGAGTTGAATGGTTTATTTTTCCAAAATTCCCTAACAACATCAGTGGTGTTCTTAATAAATGCAAGAGATTTATGTTCTTGAAAGGCCACTTAATTGGGACAACCAGAGGAACAGCTAAAGGAGGAAAATTACAGTTAATAGTGGAATGACCAAGCCAGCATCTTAGGCATAGAAAAACTGGTGCATGGACTTACCATCTGCTACTTCTAATACTGCTCCTTTCCACTACATACAAGAGCATGTGCAGTAATTGTACATATATTTTTGTGCAGGCACACTATTATTCACATATTTACTGTTAAGACCAATCTGAGTTTAACGAGAATAGCAATTATTTTGTCAAATATTTCATCCCAACAAATTTTGGTTTCAGGTTCACCTGAACAAGTTTATGTATATCGTTACCAAAAAGAATAATTTTGCCTGCCATTAATTAGGAGCATATATGGATTCTATTAAGGCCACATGGATCCTACAGCCACGGAATTTGTCAGGGAAGTCCCCCAGTTATAAACACTGTGTTCCAGTCCAAGATCAACACAGAACTCTCAACTCAAGGAGATACAGCTATGGTGGCATTACGCCACTGCTGCACCTTCCCAGAACCTCAGCTATTCTGCAGCCCCCAGGTTAGTACAGGACAGCTCTGGGGGATCTGTTTAAGTTAGGACAGCATGAGAGATTGCCGTACGGGCTACAGCACTGCTTAAAATCACCACATCACTGGTGGCAGCACTCTGACCCCACCCCTAACATGCCTCTTCCAGCACACCACCTATGCCAGGGCTAGTGAGAAGATCCTCAGAAGGCAGCCTGACAGTCATCTACTGCAATGCCTGCATATGGAGAGTCCAGACCTTGCTATACACAGCACTTACCGTGCCCATTCACACCACTTCACCCCTCTTACCCCATCAGGTTTTCACCACAGAATCTTATCTTAAGACATCATCATAAGAAAGTTTGCTGTAGTCCCCCTGGTTGAAAAACCCTCAGTCACATGAGTCAAGTCAGATGCCAGCTGAGTATGCAATAGCTCTGGAGTAGACGATCTCTCATTCGTCTCAATCAAGACTCCATGAATTCATTGATTCTGTGGCTATGGAATATGGCATTGTCCCTATCCCTGAAAGAGGTTGGGGAACAAAGATCAGCCTTACTTTAAATCTGAGAAAACTAGAAAAAAAAATCTAAGTGATATTCTGCAAGATTACCTTTCTTCAAGTTCTCATGGGCTCCATTCTCATTGTTCCTTCTTTCAAGATTCTCCATACCAATTTTTTAGGATTACATCTTGCTCCTGATTCCAACTGCTTGATTTTGGTCTGCAGATTCACTATATCAGCACTCTCACCTACTTGATTCAAACTGCAGTCTCATCTAGTCAGTCACATCTAATTTTATTTAGACAGCACCAGGAGGTTGAAGTGACTCTCAATTCTGAGTCTTGAGCTCTGTCAGGTCTTTTATATCATTTTTGTAGCAGGAAGGGAGATCTTCTCTTTGCTTTCAGGGAATCCTGTCTCCTGGAAGTTGAAATGAATCCTCCTGAAGTATGAGACTGCAACTTTACTTTATGAAATGAATAAGCTTTTGATTCCTTTGGGGGTAGTTGCTGAATTCTTGCTGGATGATTTACAAGTTCAGATGGAGAGTCTGGAGACCTGATGGAAATGAATTCTGTAGCTACCTATTTGGAGTTGGAAGTTGAACGTGCCATCCCCAGCAAGTGCCCCTACAGATAATTTTGAATAGCTAGCTGTGTCAACACTAGTATATTTAACTTTAATCCCATTACATTATCTGCTACTTTCACCACTCAACCCTGACAAATAGACCAGTTACACCACCGTGGGAATTGGCGTACACAGAAAGGTTCTCTTTCACTCTGCATACCTTGCAATAACACTTTGTTTTAAATTAATTTAATACTTAGCACAGTTGAACTGTTTTGAGGACTCCATGTCCCTAGATTAATTTTATCCCTTTTACTAGCTAAAATCCAGTTGTATCTATATAAAGATACTTTAAATTTTGGTTTATCCCAAACTTCCCTTCACACTTTTTTCAGTATGTATAAGTGAACAATATACCAGAGTAACTGAGACCATAACACAATAGTCCACCGGATTAATCTATTATAATCTGTGAGCCAACTGCAATAAATTTCACTAACCTGCTCAATAGTGTTTAAGCATTAATTTCTAGATTTACCTGTATTTAAACTTTCCACTCTTAGAGGGAGACCTGACTGGGCCACAGCAACAAGTTTCAAAGCAATATAGAACTGACTTCTTCCAAAATATCCAAGTCTTGTTGCACCACAAAGTTCCATAATCTGTAAGAGAACAAATATTAGTATTTATGAGAGGCAAATCAAAATGCCAGATATTCTATCAGAAACAGCAGCCACCTTTAAGTACAGACATAATACAGAACTCTTAAGGTGGTAAATTTGTCAATGGCAATGCTTTACATTAACTAGTCTTGTCTTAATTTCTTTGCATGGAATTTTTTGACAATAGTGGGTCATGAGTAGGGTCCCTGTTTTCTGGAAATTGCTGCTATTATCACATTTTTCCCCCCAAAATGACTTAATTTCCAAAGTCACCATTCAAAGAGGGAGGGGGATGGCGGTGGCACATGGGCAGAGGTGACATGTGGGTAGGGAATGCAGGGTCACATCCCCCAGATTTCTGCTAGGAGACACACGATTCCTCCACAGGCTACAGGGCAGAGGCTGGGGGCTGGCTGCTGATGAGACTCGCTGCCAACTTCTCCCCTCCTCACGCAGGCTTGGGCTTGGCAAAACCACCATGGAGCTTCCTCTGGAAGGGCAGGGCGGCTGGCTGCTGATGAGACTCGCTGCCAACTTCTCCCCTCCTCACGCAGGCTTGGGCTTGGCAAAACCACCATGGAGCTTCCTCTGGAAGGGCAGGGCACCTGGCTCCTTCACCATGTTGCAGAGCAAACAGCACTCACATCTGCTCTCAGCAGTGTCCACAGCGCCTCTCCCCAACTCATAGTTGGCTCCTGCCGTCTCCCCCTAGCACACAGCTGGCCTGGAGCTAGCCCTCAGTGCCTAGCATCTGTCCCCCACCTCCCATTCACAGCTGGCTCTAGCCCTCAATGCCCAGCATTTTTGTGCTGTAAAGGATTACATATTGCTCACGTTTGTCTATACATGTATTTTTTTTAGTATTAATATAACTTGTATCTGAAATTTTTTGAAATATACATATTTGAAAATCTGAAATTACTGTTTTAGTTGCTGGAAAACACTGACCCTAGTCATGAGACATTGTTTCATAAGAAGAGTTGTGAAAGGTACAGAACTGTTATTAGCCAGTGGAAGAAGCAAGCCTGAAACTTAGGTCTTCCTGGTTCCCATTCATTATTTGTATTTGAAATCTGCTTCAGGGGTTCTCATCTCATGCCATGTGGTACCTCCAGTGGGAGACTGAAAGCTGGGACCATGTTCAGGATCCAGGGTATAATCATGAAGCAGTTCAGCCAGCTGCTACAGCTGTTCCATCAGCAGCTGGGCTGTCTCTACTTATGGAGGTGTGCTGCTGTAGTAGTAATAGCTGGGGCCCGACCTTAAAATGGTTCAAGGATGTTAGCATCCTACCATTTATGCTAAATGCAAGGCAGAGATGGAAAATTATGATTTTCAAAATCTTGTAATTCAGCCAAACCTAAACAGAATTCCATGGCACAAACTAGAGTCACATCGCTGGCTGCACTCCCCTTGCTGAATTTCAGTTGAGAAGTTAAAAGCTTCTAACAAAGTCAAGTCTTTTATAAAAGAGTGTTAGACAACCTTAATAGATAAGTTCGTTGCCAGATCCCTTTATAAATTGTCAAACATAGCAAGTGCACATTTCTAATTTATCATTTTAGCTACCAATGCACAACATGTCCAGTCAGAACACAAGAAATTTCCATGAACATATACTGGAAAAGAGTGGCTCAACCTATTATGGAAGAAGAATATGCAGGGCTCAAGCTATATTCAGCTGATGCATGACCCCTTGGTTATTTTGGCCTGCTCCAGGGCAGGGTTTGAAAATTAGAAAGTTGTAACTCAGTGTTACTTCTCAGCTTCTCTTCCCCCTCCCCAGCTTTTTTTTCCTTCTCCAGATGGTTGAGTGAGAGAGGGGAGCCATCCTTTACTAGGTGCTCTAAGCTTGGGAACTGTCTGAAATTCCTACCCTGCTCTTCCTGGGACTCCCACAGTTAGAACTACTCTTCCCTCACTGGACTGCTGCATTTCAGGGGAGGAAGTACTGAGCAGCTTCAGGAAAGAAGGAACAGCAGCTGCACTTCTAGCTCACAATCAGAGTTGTTCACAGGTTTTAGTGGAAGGTGTGGGAGGCAATGCCCCAATATCGCCCCACACAGCAAAGAGCCCGATTCCAACGCTTAAAAGTCGCAAGGCATGATTCAGGGAACAGATTTTTAATTTTAATCAAATACATTTTCTTCTTAACCATCACTCTCAAGAGGCACAGGCTGGATACTTGTGCTTTAAGTAATGGCTAAGTGAGCATTAAGACATTTGTCAATCAATTATTCTCTCAGTGCATTAAAGTGCATCTATATATAAAATGCACAATAGGACAGATGCTTCTTTTGTAAACCTGCATATTTTCAATATTGTAGATCAAATGTATGGAGACAGTTGATGAGTAAGAATACAATTTAGTCACAGATTCCATGACTTTCTGGGAAGTCAGTGACTTCTTCCAGAGTGGCCAGCAGCCAGCCCCAGGAGCACTGGTCCTCAGGTTGAAGCAGCAGCCGGGGTTTGGTCTGGAGCAAGGGTGGTCAGCCCCTGGCAGGAGCAGCTGCTGAGGGACAGCTCCTCGCAGCGATCCAACTGTTAGTTGCCCCCACCCCCGGGTATTTTTAGTAAAAGTCTGGATAGGTTGCAGGCTTCCATAAATTTTTGTTTATTTCCCGTGACTTTTACTAAAAATACCCATGACAGAATCTTAATCTTATTAACAAGTTACTCTAGATAGCTACTTTGTCTTGTAGAATCAAGTTATTTGGAGACATCCTGGACATACTTGGACAAACTTATAGTGGATATAGTGTACTCAGATTTTCCAAAAGCCTTTGACAAGGTCCCTCACCAAAAGGCTCTTAAGCAAAGTAAGCTGTCATGGGATAAGAGGGAAGGTCCTCTCATGGACTGGTAACTGGTTAAAAGATTGGAAACACAGGGTAGGAATAAATTATCAGTTTTCAGAATGGAGAGAGGTAAATAGTGGTGTCCTCCAGGGGTCTGTACTGGGACCAGCCCTATTCAACATATTCATAAATGATCTGGGGTAAACAGTGAGGTGGCAAAATTTGTAGATGATACAAAACTACTCAAGATAGTTAAGTCCAAAGCAGACTGCGAAGAGTTACAAAGGGATCTCATAAAACTGGGTGACTGGGCAACAAAATGGCACATGAAATTTAAGGTTGATAAATGCGAAGTAATGCACACTGGAAAACACAATCCCAGCTACACACATAAAACGATGGGTTCTAAATTAGCTGTTACCATGCAAGGAAGAGATCTTGCAGTCATTGTGGATAGTTCTCTGAAAACATCCACTCAATGTGTGAGCGGCAGTCAAAAAAGCTAACAATGTTGGGAATCATTAAGAAAGGGATAGATGACAGAAAATATCATATTGCCTCTACATAAATCCATGGTATGCCCACATCTTGAATACTGCCTGCAGATGTGGTCTCCCCATCTCAAAAAAGATATTTTGGGAAAAGGTACAGAAAATGGCAACAACAATGATTAGGGGTATGGAACAGCTTCCATAGGAGGAGAGATTAATAAGACTGGGACTGTTCAGCTTGGAAAAGAGACGACTAAGGGAGGATATGACTGCAGTTTATAAAATCGTGACTTGTGTGGAAAAAGTAAATAAGGAAGTGTTATTTACTCCTTCTCACAAGAACTAGGGGTCAACAAATGAAATTAATATGCAGCAGGTTTAAAACAAATAAAAGGAAGTATTTCTTCACACAACGCACAGTCAACCTGTGTCAGGTTTCAGAGTAGCAGCCGTGTTAGTCTGTATTTGCAAAAAGAAAAGGAGCACTAGTGGCACTTTAGAGACTAACAAATTTATTTGAGCATAAGCTTTCAAGAGCTACAGCTCACTTCATCGGATGCATTCAGTGGAAGGGGGGAGAAACAAAGGTTCTCTCTGTCTGTTGTTGCTTTTGCCGGGACCAGAGCAGGAATGCAGGTCAGAACTCCTGTAAAAAGTCAGTAAGCAATCTAGTTAGATATGCATTAGATTCTGTTTTATTTAAATGGCTGATAAAATAAGTTGTGCTGAATGGAATGTATATTCCTGTTTTTGTGTCTTTTTGTAACTTAAGGTTTTGCCTAGAGGGATTCTCTGTTTTGATTCTGATTACCCTGTAAGGTATTTACCATCCTGATTTTACAAAAGTGATTCTTTTACTTTTTCTTCAATTAAAATTCTTCTTTTAAGAACCTAATTGCTTTTTCATTGTTCTTAAGATCCAAGGGTTCACCTATGCAAACTGGTGAGGATTTTATCAAGCCTTCCCCAGGAAAAGGGGTGTAGGGTTTGGGAGGATTTTGGGGGGAAAAGACGTTTCCAAGCGGGCTCTTTCCCTGTTATATATTTGTTAGACGCTTGGTGGCAGCAACAATAAAGTCCAGGGGCAAAAGGTAAAATAGTTTGTACCTTGGGGAAGTTTTAACCTAAACTGGTAAAAATAAGCTTAAGGGGGTTTTCATTCAGGTCCCCACATCTGTACCCTAGAGCTCAGAGTGGGGAAGAAACCATGACAACCTGTGGCGATCTTTATCAGAGGATGTTGTGAAGGCCACGACTATAACAGGGTCCAAAAAAGAACTAGATAAATTAATGGAGGATAGGTCTATCAGTGGCTAGTAGCAAAGATGGGCAGGGATCGTGTCCCTTGCCTCTGTTAAGCAGAAGCTGGGAATGGGCAACAGGGGATGGATCACTGGATTATCTGTTCATTCCCTGTGAAGCGCCTGACATTGGCCACTGTCAGAAGATAGAATACTGGGCTAGATGGACCTTTGGTCTGACCCAGTATGGTTGTTCATATGTAAACTTGTACATAATGTGAACTCCCCATTCTTGTGAGCAAGCAGGGAATTAAAATTTATATTTCCTGTTTCTTAAGCGTTCAGCACACAGACATCTTGTAATTTCAACGCTCTGCTGGTTCACAAGAACAGAACCAACAGAGGGAGATTAAAAAACAAGATAGAACAGCATTTTTCAAACTTTTTGAGCTGG